AGAGCAATGGTTGTATTGCAAAATTATTAGAGAGATTATGAAGGATCTATCGGACAAATCTTATACTCATGGTTCACTGCAAAACCTTCGCAATTTTTTACTAGAAACTAAAAATCACTGATGAAAGACGAATCAGATCAATGGCGACAGTTATATTGTATTGTTCAATTTACTCAAAAATTATATGTCACGTGCTTCAAAAAGCTAATTTCAAATCTATATGAATCTTCAAAAAAATGATACATAACAGAACAGAATTTGAGCCATATATCTGGTCTAATTTCCAACGCTAACTGTATCACCTCTGCTAGAAATTTTCTCTTCTATCCACTTTTTATCTTCTTTTCAGTATTTTATTGAGTTTAGATAGATTATCACATATAAACAGCCATTATATATGAACAATTTCTAAAACATTCTAACAATCACCATCCCGTCCGATCAAAATTACCATCTTATATGTGAGATGATAGGTAGACTCAGAAGGAGAGGTACAATTTAGGAACACTATTACACGTCATCTATGTACTATTTGCCTTCTTTCAAGGGTACTATTGACTGCAATTTGACGTAGTCAATATTCATTAAGCACACACCCTTCATTATATCTAACAAAAAGCCTTCACTCCCAAACGACGTACACAAATCTACTGAGCCCGACCAGCATTCTCTTAACCAGACAAGAGAGTTTTTTGGAAAGAAAAAGTTCTTTTGCAATATAGCAATCTCGATGATGTTCTACATCAATTAGAATTATTTGATATACAAATTGACAATCCAAAAATTGGAGAGATACGACACTTCAAAAAATGTTCATGTTTACGCAGAGTAGAGCCCGGAAAGGGCAAAACTTTTTTGTAGAAATTTTGCAGGAAAAAAGTAGCGCAGCAGAAATCTAGGATGAAATTTGTCATTCAATTGAAAGCTTATTGATTTGGTTATCAGTCAACAAGTATTAACTCATCGGTGCACTTCCTATCACTAAAAAGGTTAGCTGTTGAGTTGCTCTTAAGATGACCGATATAAATAAAGTAC